CCTGCTGGAAGATGAAGTTGGGATGATTTTGACCAGCTTAACAAAGCTTTTTCAAGGAATTCTTTTCGGTCGAACTTTGCATCAATTTTCACATTTCTGTCTATGAAAATCAACGGAGTCTTGCCTGATGCACTGATACCACCCCAAACCATTAATTTTTGGGGAAAAACTTCTTGTGGCAATTTTTTCTTGCGGGTGTTCTTAAGAGCTGGTCTGAGAAGTTGGCGGTGATTTTGAGGGTTTTTAGCCAGTTTCACGATGAACGCTTCTTCGTCAGACCAAACAACGTCTTCAATGCGGCGCACCTTGAAAAACTCCAGCACTTTCTCGCTTTATTTCTTTTGACTTCGCTTCGCTTTAACGGTAAGAGCATGCGCATTCATTAGGCGATAACTTCGAAGCCCGAGCTCTTTTTTCACTATCATTTGAGTTGATTTTCAGGAGATCTTGAGCTGTTCTGCCATTTTGTGTAGCCTCCGATCATCCTTTCGGTCAAACCTCTTTTGATAATACCACGCATCCTCCTTGTGTTGGCAGTCCCCTTCCTTCCTATTTCCGGCTTGGTTACGACGTGTCCTTCCTCCTTCAATTGCTTCACAATCTTTTGAACTGTTCTCAGAGGAATTCTGAGCTTCAAGGCGATTGTAGTGTTCTTCATCCCGCCGCTGGCTAGCTATGCAATCTACTCGCGACTTGTGCAGACCTGCACCATGGTCTCGAGAACAACTTTCTCTCCACAGGCTGATTATCGAAGTTGTAAGGAAAGGAATCAATGCGTAAAAACCGACTCTGATGCTCAAAGCAATCACGTGATCGCGTCCGAATTCGCGCACACGTATTTTTTCGCCACCCTGCACTTGTTTGGCTGAAGGGAAGAGGGGGTATACCAGTTGAGCAGCATGGGTTCATGCCCGCAGTCTCTACTATGACGCTCTTATCTGACTCGCTCTATGACTGGCTGTTAGCCCTTAACAGTAGGAAATCTGTTGATGTTATTTACTTTGATTTTACCAAGGCCTCCGACAAAGTATGTCACCGCAAATTTGTCAGAAAGCTGGACGCTCTGGATATTCATGGTCGATTTCGGGCCTGGCTCGGTTCGTATCTTGAGGAGAGGTATATGACGGTCAAGGTCGGGAATGAGTTTTCTGATAAGCTTCCTTGCACCAGTGGTGTCCTGAAAGGCGGGGCCCTTTCTCCTCTGTTATTCCTAATATACACTGCCGATTTGCCGCATGCCCTCAAACTCCATCCAAGTGTCAACATCAAAATGTTTGCAGATGATATCAGAATATATTGTACTTATGCAGCCATGAGGAAGCTACATCTCATAGGTGGCTAAGCTTAGCCACAGAGAAGATGTTGGACTGGTGTAACCAATGGGATATCCCACTCANGTTAACGACCTCGGACTTCTAGTAGATAACTTGTTGAGCTTCAATGACCATATCACTGCTGTTGCAAGGAAAGCTCTCAGTTCATCTTTGTGATCCCGTGATCCCGAGGAACTTCCATAGTAAAGATCCTGCTCTACTAGTTAAAGGCGCCGTTAGCAATAAATTAAGGGTACCCTATTTTGACGGGAATTGATAGAACTACTCTAGAATAAAGCAATAACAACGAAAAAAGCGCAAAAAACGATGAACAAAAAGAATTACAAAGAGTCAAAAAAAGAGCTAGAAAGGGGGTTGGACGAGTTTCACATTGAAATAACGGCGGTTAGGGAGTGTTCGGGCGAGTGCACGAAGGCGACGCAGTGTGTTGTCTGCAATAGCGGACAACACATTGTGTCTATGGCAATTTGCCAACCAGCTTATCGACTTTTCACCAACTTCGCTCCAATGCGAAAGTGGTGAACGGCAATTAGAATTCGTAGTCAGCGTAGCGAGGGACGGAGGGCGACCGTGGATAACTCTCAGGCCCCTTATTGTGCCCTATCCAGCCGTTTTCCGACCTCATTCGTGCACAAGTGGTATCAGAGTGGGCGTCGAATCCAAACCATGTGCAAATCTCCGAAACCATTTTTTCGTGAACAGTGCCTTTGAACTTTACAAAACCTTCGCACTACCTAAATCAGAATATGGTTCCGTTTTGTGGAGCCTTTCCTTGAGAAAACACGTATACTGTTTAGAGAGAGTACAAAAAATCTTTACGAGAATTGTGTTTTATCGTTCCTTCCCTAATCCTAATTATCCACAGACTCTCTCACCTTACAAAGACAGGCTTGACAGGTTAAGCATGAAAAGTATAGACGTATATTTAATGATCTAGTTTTTGGCTTCCGAATCATCAAAAGAGAAATCAAATTGCAATCCAGTAAATTCTGGATATTCCGGCCATACCGAAGGAGTAGAAATGGGTATTCTATTCATTGTAGGAGGCTGCGGAAAAGTTGTTTCATTGCGGTTTTCAATTCTTTCCCTTTTCGTTTCGCGCGTTGGATACGTTTACTGCAGTATAATTTTATTTTATGTAAATCTTCATTACAGTTTCGAGCACAGCCAAGGAAAACCAACATTTTGGAGGTTCTCAGGATGCAAGATGTCGATTAGCGCATAAAAGTACACAACTAATGAGGGAGTTGCTTGGCTATTTCTGGTGCATGGTGGTTGTGGCGTCACGAAATGCTTTTCCTTGCATGTGGAATCGATGCCGCTGTTATATATGTCGGGCTACTCGATTATTAATGGTTCAACTACTTGATTACAATTACTGTATCCTATTTCATGTGTGTGTAGTTAGTTTTATTGTGCCTAATTGTGCTTATATTCTTTGTGTTGCATGACGACCAACCTGGTGAGGACCAGAGGTGAATCAAATTATTTGCTCACTACACAACTTAAGGGCCCTCCATTCACAGTTGGTGTTGTTCGCTTTGCTTTCGAGTAGTATCTGGCTTCAGTGCTACCTCGGCTTGCCAACTCCACGTGGGTGCACGGTAAACCCGTGTCTCGAAGTTTTGGCGGGTCCCTATGACCCCGGTTGTGGCGAAGGGCATCATAGCCGGCCGATGTGGGGTCCCACTCCGAGCAAGTGCTTCTTGCTTCAAGGCTAACTGCACCAGCTGCTTATGGCTGTGCCTTTGCTATACTTGATTTACACACTTATTGTCACTAGATTATTATTCTACAACTTGTGAAACTGGTTACCCCTGTGTCAGTTCTCCAGCTCTCGTCTTGCGCTACACTCAAGCTTTCCAAACCATTATTGCTAGTTCGCAATGCCCAGTTCTAGGAATACTAGAATGACTAGAAGGTGGTTATGTATCCTGTATAGATATCCTTACTTTTGACTTGTTATGGTAATTATTATAGTTCTTTCAGTTTGAGTTCTTGTCTCTACGCATCATATTTATGTTTTTGACGGCATGTCGAATGACGTGCTAAACAGTAAACAATAAACAATTACTCCCATGTCTTTCGTGTTCGTTTATGTTAAGCACCAACCTGAGACCATCCTAGGATACTATTCGGACAACCGCTTGGCTAATTCGCAACGCATATTCAAAACCAGCAGGGCGGAGGTGGTGTAGTGGCAAGGGGCGCACTATCTCACACGCATGTTCAGGGCTTCAAATTCCGGATCGGTGCCCGCCTAGGTCAACCGAGCCTTCTATCCCTCCGGGGTCGGTTCATTGGTACCAGACTCGTTTGGGAGAATAAAGGCACTGATTTGTACATCGGCTGGCCACCGCGAGTTATTTTATAGGACACATACGCACTCATCACGCCACTACGATTCTGAATGGAAGTCGAGTGCGGGGGCGCATCCCTCAGAAGTCATAGATTATGGCCAAAAACTTTATCCTTCATCCTTTTATTCAAAACCAGCACTAGAAAATATTGGGTTGTAACATAAGTTCGTAGAGTTTAGCGTGAGAATTATTTTACAACGACTTGGTTTGTTTTTTAGCAGAGTGTATACATTCATTCGAAAGAGCTCTTTCTCTTCTACAAAATCGCTCTATCTGTTTTTGGATAGCTTCATTGTTCGTCTTTTTCTGGCTCAGAAATGGAATACCCAGGAGGAAAAATACAGCATTTTCGACATCTGCTTTTCTTTGCTTTACATCTAGGTCAAAAAGCAACCGAAGCCGCTTGGGACATATGCAATGTGTACGGGGAAGGTGTCTTAGATGTGTCTACTGCACAAAAATGGTCCGCAAAGTTTAAAAATGACGACCATGATCTTGAAGACACGCCTCGAAACGGACGACCTGCAGAATTCGACGAAGAGCATCTGAAGGCAGTATTGAAGGAAGATGTTCGCCAAACAACTCGTGAATTGGCTGATTATTGTAATAATTTATTTAATAATTTATTATTATAATTGTTTTGTTGTTCAAATAAATCTTTGTGAAAACGTTTACGAACTTATGTTACACCCCTATATATCTATAAGTCCCACTCTAAATGGTCCCTTCGACTTGGGGACTCTCTTTGTTAGTAGACCACCAGGTCAACTTCAATACAAGACTTGACTCGAGCGGAAAATGTTAATTCGAGTTCAGAGCACTACAATTTGTTAGAACGACAGGAGATAGCAGAGCACATTTTATGTGCGTCCCGCCCGTGTAAAATGAGAGTTGGCGGGAACACTCCACGACTACAACTTCACACAACACTGACATATGCGATGGAAGTAAGGCTGACTCAAGGATAACCTTGCATGCACGCTCGATGCTTAGGAAAACTGCTCATTTTTGTCACTGGGGAATATTCTCTCATTTCGTTGAGGTCAATCGAAATAGTCCTCCACAAATCGGTACATCAAAGTCTCAGGTTCTTGTACCGGCTCTTCTACCAACTCATAAGGAAAATGGTAAGAAGCGCCGCAAGCAGCTGACCTAGAGCAAGGAGACCGAATTGATAAAATATGTTTCCGCTTACGTCCGGATTTTGTACAATGGGCATTCCTTCTACTTTGCTTTGGCTTCTTTTTATTTTCCTTACTTTGCATGTTCAACTATATGAATACTGGTCGGAACTGAACCATTTATTTCACAAGCCAACTTCACCTGCGTTGGCAAGACTTAGTTCATCCACGTCATCGGCAGAAAAGTGGCTGAGTGTATCAGCAATTGCCAGCAGATGCATTTGATCCACACTTGACAAACCAGGGAGATGTGTATGAGTTAGCAACTCTGTTAACAGCCTAAAAAGCATAATTCTAAATAAACTCTCGGATCGTTCGGCTTATATATGCCTTCTTCCCTTTTTGGGAGGGCTCAGAATGCCTGACTATCTAGAGCATCATTTCTAGTGGTTTTTATGGGTTTTATTGATTCAGTGTTCTTGCTAGGATAGCGGGTGGGGGACTCCTAGTACATATTCGACACAAGAAGGGGAGTTCAGCACAAAAGGAGTAATGCGTCGTCATCTCATTAACTCCTACAGATATGTAGACTAGGTGAGTAGTTTTTGACCTTCAAGAGTAATTACACCTTTTGATGATTCCTCCATTTATGAATAGAATGTGAACTCGAGCAGGGACTACTAACCACTTGAGACCTTTTGCCAGAGCTTATCGCATGTAATCCCTTTTTCACACCCAGCGGAAGGCGAGAGAACATAAAAACGCTAGCAGTTTCGAGGAGAAGCGTGTGTGTGTGTGAGTGAGTATAAATAATCACAATTACACAACATCCAGAAAGGGGTGTTACACAATTACTGCAATCTTGTCATATGAAAAAACCTGTTATGTCGAACTGAGAAAGCGGTAGGAACAGGCTGCTTGGAGTCATTGGTCATCAGAACCTGAAAAGTCAGCACACTCACTTCTCCGACGAAATGATCCAGCAAAGCTTTGTACCCCGGCTTGTTCAAAAAAGATGATCCCACAAAGAGTTGTCAAGCTGAAGTTAATAGTATCCTCAATAAAATTCGAAAAAGTGCAGTACAAATGAGGAAAATCAAAAAGGATTGCTTTCTGGCAAACTCACGTTTCTTGTGGATTCTCCTTTTCTAAATTCCACGCAACTTTCCATATCGGCGGCAACAATTGAATGAAGTGGTAATGGGGCAATCTCATCAATTTCTTTATAGTCAGGATAAACCTCAAAATCGGTGGATGATTTCGGAGCTGGAATCTTTAGATTTTCTTTCCAAAGCGGAGGCTAAGTTAAGTATATATAAATGGCTTTCGGTTCCTAAAAAAATAGCAAAGCCATTAGGTACTAGCAGCAAAAAGTGCTCGCGATATGAGTGGGGAGAATACGCACTGAAAGCTGCTGTGTTCTCCTCACAATAACGGTAGTTATGGGCGAAGTCTCCAGCACTGTACTGTTTCAAAACTACACCATTAAAGCCCGCTTACCATCTTCTCGCATTTCGGCCGTAGTTTATGAACACTCACACTAGTCAGTCAGCTGGTTCTATCATTGAGCCGTGAAACAGTAAGCATTATGATATGACTTGTTTTGACCTGCCATTTTTTGATTCTTGCTTTTACGACACAGCTAGCGATGCAAAAGCCTCGAAAGAATGGTGACTCACAGGGAAAACACCTCCTGACCTTATATTAGCTTAAAATGACATTGTGCTTTCTGGGAACCGTGTTATTATCCCAACAGAAAGCTCGCTTGTCCTCGCAGTCTCGGGGCATTCCATACTCAGCTTTTTTCTCGGTGGTAAATTGAGTAATTGTCAACTCTTGGCGCCGGTAATAAGTGTCATTTATTTCTTGTTCAAAACAGTTCGGATGATTAGAAGAGATAAAAATAAAGAGGGCGAAGTGAAGAATGAGTTGGTGGTTCTTCATTCAATCAACCTTTTCTCGACAGTATTGTATGTGTATTGTAGCTGAGCGGAATGGCCTTCTGTTGGCGACGGAGGCCTTTCCAGGCTTTTCTATAGCGTCCGCCGTTGACTGACAAGTGAAAGATAACAGGTCATAGTGTTTCATAGCGTTGTGTTTGCGAACGCTCACCTCGAACCCACCCTTCAAATAAGGTGAACGATTATGGGAGCAATGAGGCGGAACCGTTTCTCTTATGATGAACCATTGTGTCACGCAGATAAGCGGACCGAATGGTCACTTAATTGTGCAGCAGTAGCGCTGAGGAGAGACGGCGGACTCATATGAACGAGATGAAGGTGGAGATCTTTGACGCATGCACTGATTTTGTTTATTCATTGTCCTAAACGGTTGCTGAATGCATTAACACTTCATATTCACTAAGTGCGGACCACAGCCAGAAATGAAATAATTAAATAAGATTGGACGGAACACCGTCCTAATTTCCTTCCTGAAGCCAGGAATGCCCTAACTCATGTGAACTGTAGTTGAAAAAAACACTGCCCGGGTGGGGCGAAGGTGGTGTTGCTGCAAGTGGGTTACGGTGTGCAAACATTTGAACGATCGCACTTAATCGTGCTCTCCTCGTACCTAGGCGCGAAGTGGTCTCGATCAGGTGCAAAGGCTCCGTGGTAATTATGCTACATCGTTACTAGCCGAGATGAAACTTATAAACTAAGGAGAATGACAGTAAAAAAGGGAGGGAGTAGAAAATATGGTGCTCTGGCAGGAAAAATCCCGCCTTACTTTTCGAAAAAAAGTTCCATCCCCGTGCGTAATATGCTGCTAACTTACACGCCTCTCTCCCATGAACCACCTCGGTTTTAACCCAATAGAGTCAACGGAGGGTTTGAGTGGAGTAGAGAGCTGTGACTCGACCGACTTAGAAAGAGTGTGTCTATAGCATGTGGTAATTTCAACGGCCGCTGTGAGGTAGGCTGTGTAGGCAGGATTTTCGAAGGAAAACGTTCTGTGGTGCTAGAAGTTCTAGTCCAGAAGTTTAGAGGCCAGACAGTGGAGGAAAAGGGCTGCATGGAACGTGCATTCCTGAATGGTTTGGAGCAAAGACACCCTGTAAATCCTTAAAGCATTAGAGAGCATTCCCAGATTACAAAGGTTAATGTTGTTTTATAAAGAGAGCAGTGGCATTCAAAGCAGTAACGAACCTGTCGAACCGAAAACGAATCGTCAAATAGTTGCTATTCACCATAAAATTGTGAAATGGTCTACAGGATGAGGCGAATGACGTTCAATGACCTGTTAATGAAGAGCGGCGCCAGTATTAAAATTTACTTCGCTTCTGTAAACGTTGTTTGAGATCACAGATGGGCGGAAATCCCAAAAAGTGAAACAATTTAATTGCACTGCGTTCTTCACATTGCAAAAATCTCAATCAGAAATGTATTAAAATAGCTGTAGAAACTCTTTTTTTTATTGCAAGAGTATTCTCTTTAGTTGATGTTTCAACGATTCTCATCATTGGTTGAAAGGTTAGTAATGATGTGCAGGCAGCATACTTACCTGAGTCTCCGCATCTAGTCCAGGTCACTTTGCGCCTAGGTGTGAGGAGAGCTTAACTACGTGCGTAAAAGTGACGTAAAAACGTAAAAAAACTATTATAAAAATGTTTCCACTCCATTGCCGCACTACCAAACGCGCTTGGTTACGAGTTCGAATCCCGGACCGATATCCGCTTGAGCCAACCAAGCTCTTCATTTCGAAGGTGTCGACTAATTATTACCAGACTCGTCTGGGAGGATAAAAGCACTGACTTGTACATCGACTGGCACCGCAAGTCATTGCATTTGCCACTGCGAATCTAGATGGAAGTCGAATACGAGGGCGCATCTATCATACGGGATTAGATAAAGCACAACACTACTTTCTTTGACCTTGGGGAATAGGAAAGCAGACACGTTTTGTTCGTTCAAAAGCCAGTGCCATCTACGGAGACAGAGGGTAAGTAAAAGAGACCATGAGCCTTCGAATCAGTCTACGTTCGCTAACTTATGATGACCTATCTGATTGTAACGATCAGGTGCAAAAAGGGGGAGGGAATAACTATCTGCCTATGGAGAAGTCATCATTGGGCTAGTACAGGAATCTCATTACACGACAGTAATTTCCACAGTATGCCGCCTATAATCAACATTGAAGGCCTCATAGGAGACAACTTCAAAGCAAGTCTTAGGTAGATTCAGGGTATTAGTATAGCCGTGAATTGATGTCCCATAGCATCACCACGTTCACCTCATGAAAGGACTTTGTGACAGTTAGCGGTAATAATTGTGTACACAAGTCAATGGACTATTGTTCTGAAATATTTCTTCAACAATGCCAGTTTACTTGCACCACCGCTCCGAAAATGTGGATACTGTTCCTCAAATGTGTAGACTTTATCCCTTCCAAAGAGGGCTCTGGTCGAATGATCCACTCGCCCGCCCTTTCCCGTAAGTGGAGGTAGCTGCCGAAAATTTCGTAACCTCAGCTTGAGTGTTCAGGGTAGACGGACATGCTTATTCGGTTAGTGACGGTAAGAAATGTCTTATTGGATTACTATTCCCCGGAATTGAAAATGTGAGGGAGCCTCATAGATGCCCATTATCGAGCCCAAAAAAGTTTTGCAAGCGTTTAGGATCCATTTCATAGAAAAGCAAAACGAGCATGTGCATCAAGGTGTCAAACCTTGATGACATGCCTACCAGACCACAATCCTATCTGCTGCGCCATCGTTGCACAGCTACGAGGGTGTTGTGCAATTTCACACGTGGATATAACGAGGTCATCTCGCGTGATGGGCTGGGCCCGAGACGCACTATATCATCATGCCTACACTATAAATGGAAAAATAGAAACCTTCAAAAGACAAGTAAAAAATGACCGAGTATATAAGCTTACAGAAAGATTGTGTTTGCTAGGAACGAAATTCCGGTGTTATTTTAACTTCGAACGTTTGAGTAAATTGTTGATTCAAGAAGTAAGTCCTCAACTCCGAAGGGATTCATTGCCATGGTAAAGAGATTCGCACTATTTCATGGTAAAACCATGGACTAGTGCAAATCTAATTCAGTCCATCTCAACTGAAGGGCACGGTAGTAGTGACTGCATCAAGATCCCGACGTAATCTGCTCCGCATTGTGTCGCGTGCGGCCTACGCGAAGAAATCTGGTGAGATCACGCGAGAGTCGCATGTCCGCCCACCTACGACTTTGCTCGGTTCGCTGATTTAATTGTTCCCAGATTCGTTCAGTAGAACAAGACAGATAAGCGATTAAGATAAGTGTTCGAAATCACCTACGGCGGTGTATTTCTCATCTTGATACGTTCACGACGAACCAGTTTTTCGTTACTGTCGCGTGAAACGAGACAGTCAACGATTTGTTAGTTCTCAAAAAATGAGGGAATACAGTCTAAAGCGTTTGAAAACAAATGGTACGAGAGAAAATTACGGAAACCATCCACCAATAATTGAATTTAGCTCAAAATTTATGACTACTCGGGATAATTCAAATTTGACAGTGATGAATTTGATCTCGGGGTATATAAATAGGATCTCTGAGAGTATCGTTATCCTTGCGAGCATTCTTGTCATCATTAGTGTCCCGGAAACCGAAATCGTAGAGTTCAACGAAAATTTTGACAACTTGCTGCTCGACAGCGACGAAGAAGCTCCCGGTGTTATGGATGGCGGTGATATGTATTTCGGTTGTTTCTGACTCTGATGATTCCAACATTGAGATCTCAGATGATGACTATGACGAAGCAGAGATCATATGAGTGAACGCTCCTCAAAAGCAAGACAGATGGGCCTTTTCTGAGCCTGCTGGAACCAGCCCATATCCCGCTGCCAAACGATAATTAGCTAAAATACTGCTCGCTGAAACCTCGGAACTTGGCCAGAAATGGGCATTCAATCGCCGGAGATTTTATTACCAGAAATCGGCCTGGAGAGATCTAAACGCATCTCCACCTTGAAGAATACCCTCTGTCGACAGGACGAATTCATGATTGTTAGACGATAATTAAAAGAAAAAAGTCTCGAGAATCATTGGATAGCTGGCCGGTGCTATTTTAAACAATTCTAAGCCTAAATTGAAAGTCTGCACAAAAAAAACGGAATGGGCACACACATTTTGATTGGGATAATTCACTGTCGGGCACCGTTCAACGACGCCGTCCCACGACATGGAATGGCTGTCACGCAGCTTCTCTTGAAAGTGAACCTTCTTAATTTACTGAACCATTCGGCGGATATTGTTGCGTGCGTGAGATTCCGATGTGCATTTGCGACAACTGCTTATCTCCTGAGCCCACAAAACGGTCATTTTGTTCAGGAGCTAGTTGTTACAATAACAAAAAAAATTTACTTGATGATTTGTTAACAGCTGTTATATCGCGGCAGTACCCGCTCCGAAAGTATCACAAGATTGGAATTTATGAACAAAACTTCAGTCTCGGACGGGACTCGTACCCGTACTTGTGCTTTCCGGGCACCGTGTCGTGCCGTGTAAGGCCATTAAAGGTACAGTTCACGATAAAAATGGATTCAGAGTTCTACCACTAGGAATACCCAGTGTCCCCGAAGGATAACAGGAAGGACGCTGTCGAGTCCCAAAACTCAACGGCTAGAGCACAGTGGGAGCCCCCTTACCGTGTCGCCCGGACTTATCGCCCCTTGATCGATGACATGTCAGACGAGTGTCGAGGCGATACAGATTGCAAAATTTCGCTCTAGGACCCACACACAATTAGCTGATCGCTGAGTAATGAGACGACGTTTTCTGTTTTACTTTATTATCTGTTACCAGTTGGGCGATGCACGATGACGCATGCATTAGGACCGCTCATCTACGATGGAGTCATTCAGCTGAATGTTGGATCATTAGAATAAGGTAGCTCTCTCTATATTTCAACGCTGAGTCACTTTGGGAGCATCACGCTCGATATATTTCATTTGAGCGGAATTATTAGTGGTTGGTCATAGCCCCGTCCATTTTAGAGCATACCCCTCCCACTATAAAACTTTGACCACCTTTTTTTGACTGCCCTCTCCATTTTCTCCACATTCTAGAAAGGTTTTATACAGGTTTATGAATTTTTGATCTAGTCTCGCCTAACGCATTCTCAAACTTTTACGGACAGATGTAGAGATTTTTGATCTCAGCCCCGCCCCCTTATCGCAAGCCCCGGAATTTTGACCACATTCCTCTTACTACCTCTGGACACCCCGCCCACTTGAGTGCCCACCCCGCTCATTTCAGGGATCTGACCACGTTTGCTCTACTACATCTTACCACTTTTTTCTCGCACCCCAGAATGTTTTTGAATAGAGTTATAGGTTTTTGATCTCAGCTACGCCCACTTCAGTGCCAACCCGGACACTTCTGGGACTTGACCTCATTTGTTCTTTTACATCTTATCACTTTTTCCCCACGTCCTACAGCTTTTCTGAACAGAGTTATATTTATTTTTGAAAAGTGGCTTCCATTTAAACACATGCTCCTCCCATTGTGGGTGGAGCTTTGCTAAGTTGACGCATGCTAAGCATGCACAAGGTCTTGCTCACTCCTTTTATCTTTTTCTGGCCTCCTCACCTTCATTGAGCATAGTTATGAGTGTGTGGGAAGTACCGCCCATTGCGGGAACGCTCCGTCCACCGTCGGCGAGTCTCTCTCGACCAATTTGTTGACCAATCCCTCACCTTGGCTCATTTTTTCGCGGCTCCTGACTGTCAAGAAACCGAGTGAGAAAGACTTGCTCAGACGCCGCCCACTCCTGTGCACGTCCCGCCCCTATGGGCGGAGCTCCGCTAGGCTCACATGTGCTCTGTTGGTCTCTGTTGTCTGTCTGTTGGTCTTGCCCCATGCTCAACCCACTCCAAACTGACTATCTCTCCAGGTGTTCCTTTAGGTTGTATCGAATTTCGTGACAGACAGACAGACAGACAGACAGACAGACAGACAGACAGACAGACAGACAGACACGAGCGTTTTATATATAGTAAGGATTCTTTCTGCTCCTGCGATCCCTTATTTGATACTCTACCACAAGAGGCTAAAAAAGGTGGCTTGCTTCAGTATTTTTGCTGTTACTAGGGTTATTTGTTAAGTTCTACTGTGAAGAACCAGTTTATCATCGTCCTCCTTCGATAACTTTTATTGGTGAACTGCGGTGAATGTTGCTAACAAGACTGTCGCACAAAATTGGAACTATACGGCTTATTATAGAGCATCTTCAACCCTCCCAGGCTTCACGCCTCATTGCACTTTCTTTATCTACTGCTCATTTGGTTAGCTGAACTACTATGTACTGCCATCTAATTCATTAAGTATGGGGCGAGCGTGTTTTGGATTAAGTCCTTCAAAAAATTCTCCGCAGGTGCAAGTCAACCAGCATGCTTCAAGCAATACTTGGGCCTGGGTCTTACGCCCTGGGATCATGTTTAGATCAAAGAGGCACCTACGTTGGCCTGCCCGGGAACAACTTCGGCTGGTTGCGTTGCCCAGTCTGACATTTTTTCTATGGCCGTCATTCAGTTTTAAAGGCACCGTTTACGATAAATGTAGGGTACCCTTTTTTGACGGGAATTCATAGAACTACTCTAGAATGAAGCGATAACAACGAAAAAAGCGCAAAAAACGATGAACAAAAAGAAATAGAAAGGGTCAAAAAAGAGCTGCAAAGGGGGGTTGGACGAGTTTCACATTGGAAGAACGGGGGTTAAGGGAGTGTTCGGGCGAGTGCACGAAGGCGACGCAATGTCTGCAATAGCAGACAAAACACCCAACTTGCCTGACAATCTGACTGGCAGACTCTGGCAATTTGCCAACCACCTTATCAATTTTTCACCAACTTCGCTCCAATGCGAAAGTGGTGAACGGCAATTAGATTCCGTAGTCAGCCTAGCGAGGGGCGGAGGGCGACCGTGGCTCACTCTCCGGCCCCTTATTGTGCCCTATCCAGACCATTTCCGACCTCATTCCTGCACAACTGGTATCAGAGGGGGCGTCGAATTCAAACCATGTGCAAATCTCCGAAACCATTTTTTCGTGAACAGTGCCTTTAAGTCAAACAACTCTCTGTAGGTAGTCACTGCCTACTCGAGCCCCTGACGCACAGAGGGCAGTTATTAGTCCTGCGCTGACCTTCTCAGGTCTCCTTTTTGTGTACGGCAGGCCTGAGATACTGGAAGCGCGACTGCTTTTTATCCTTCCTTTTTTGCAGCTATTGTACTAGTTTGCTTGTTTGTTTGTTTTCGTCTCAACATGCTTGTCCAAAGTAACACCTCCCTGTTGTAGCGCACCATTGAGCGCACAAATAAATAAACAAATATCGATAAATAATAATTAATAACAATTACCAATACCTGATAACTATCAATAATTAATAATGCTCAAAAAAGCAAATAGCAAATATTCCTCAAAGCGAAGGAGGGATAAAGGTGGTCACTATGAAGCGTACAAGCGTTCTGCAACGGTTCAGGACATTTCATGAAAAAGCCGAACGTTCGGGTGTTTCAAGGGCCTGAACTTCAAAGTCACTACTATAATTAGGTCATCCTATTTTTGCACCATGGCTGCACGTTTGGTACGCTATGCAGTTATCTGTACGACACGGAAAGGAAACGATTCTGGAACGTTTGAAAACATGGCGACATACATCTCATCTTGATTGACCACTGCGACCTCGTATCCTTTTCTTGTTAAACGCTTACGTCATGGCTAACTTCTGTACCAAAATAGCATCGCTTTCGAGCAGAACATCCTGCCGCTTGAGAAGAGCTTTAGGAGACTTCGGGTGACAAATAACGTCGACAATGCTTCAAAAGGGATTGCACTACGATAGTGCGATACGATGTTCAAAAACTACGAGGGCTAAGGGGATAACTGGTGCAAAAGCGTGTTTGAAAAGGAGTGGAACACCTAATTTAGTCTATCTTTTCTCTTGAGCTTGCGCATGTATACGCTTAGGCATTGACCAACTTTCCATTTTTCGACTGCTGCTTTCAAAATTTTCCGAGTTGTTTTTCGAGGGCTCTGAAATTGTTGGTTAAATCTTTTGTTTTCAATGTGTGGCCTTCTTCAGTTGCGCCGGCAACTTCCCCTCGACCGGCCTTCCAGATTTCCGCTAGTCCCGAAATTAGCGTTAATCAATAGATCTGTTGCAAAGCATCTTCAACCAGTTTTTCGAAACAGCAATTCAGATCAAACGGTAATGTATCCCATTTAAAACTTTAGGCTACAACTGATTTCCTTCTACGGCTTAAGTTGCGACGGGAGAGCTCAAAACAAAGCATAATCAAAGAAGCGTTTTCAAGTCAAACCTGGCCCTCATCAGAAGATTTTTCCTGCATAGCGATGACGGTTGACATTCGTTTCATAGTGGCAGCACGAGAAAGCGGATTTTGTACGGATACCTGCCGCTGCTAAAAATCAGTAGACGGAAGTCTACAACGTTGCAATGTTCAGTTAAATAAAAAGGAACCTCTAGTGCAGAGAGTACATTGAGAAGAATTGCTTTGACACGCTCAGTTCTACCAGCATTAAGTAGAACAGTAAGTTGTTTGGGATGATACTGCGGTAACATGGGTGACGCCAGACGAGCAGCTTCGAAAAGACCGTCAACCGAAATTGTATCCAGAGGATATGACAAAGATCTTTCGTAGTTGCTTGAATTTGTCCTAAAAAGGTTTCATTCAGTCATTCAAGATTTAGAAAAGGAACTTGGTATACCCTGATCATGTTTAGTGCTTTGTTCAAAGATAGCTTCTGATTCAAATAAAATAAGCACTCCCAAGCTCTTTGAAGACAGCAGTGATGGGAGCGTTATTGTGTGACTGGCAGCATGGCCATTTTCCTGCTCTCTTCAGATAATTAGCGCTCAAATAAGATTGGACTGGCTGTGTGGAAGTAATGGTCGATAGAATATGTACACATCGATTTGATATGTACATAAATGACCGATTATTAACATTTTGGGTTGGACATAAGAAGAGAAGTGATCCTGAGGGAAATGGAATCTCTGTCGATTTCCTCGCACTCTTATACTAGGGCTAAACATTACTAATTTTCGCACTGGAAGGAAAGTGGGAGGGGCAATAGTCAGCAACGCATTCCGATTTCATTATAGAAAGAAAAGCTCAGCGTGAGCGTAAGAAAGAAGGCTAAGCGCAAAACTAAAACAAATTCTATCAATTCCGCAGGGACTAAGGTAAGCGAGGGAGGTAGCGGGGTGGAGGAGGAGAACAGTTTGAAGACTCTACCCGAAGACAAACGCAGGCCAAAGACAATTCGTTAAAGATAGCCGCTTTTGATAGGCAATTCATGGCTTTGTTTGTGATGAAATGATCCGAAATTGTTTCCTGGCCTTCCAACGAGACTATTAAGTCTCGTTGGAAGTGCCAGGGAACGACGGATCATTTCAATAAGTGAATGCACTCGCGAAAAAGGCATTACGATAGTCACTGACAGTATATGAAAACCTCCATTTTGAGAGAAAAGGCACGTATCGAAGGGTTGAGGTGAACAGATACCAGGTTATATTACAATAAGGAGAAGATATGGGACATGCACAGTGTTGCGGGCAGCTAAACTGGTTGAAAAAAATTCAGACAAGAGAACTTCCACGTGTGGTGTTTTTGGGTCGTGGACATGAAAACATGTTACAGTGCTCTGCCGTACAGGTAGTCATTGTTGTGGATTCACAACCATATATATGTTTATAATAGAACTGGCCTTTACAAGAATGATGGATAAGATACTAGTTCAACATAATAACCATAGGCACAACTTGACATGGGTATCTCTTGAGCTGAGACCACAGGCATGACCTGGCGGTATCATAAGTGTGCAAATAAGTAGGTAACTTAAGTTCTGCCGTTTGCGCGGTCCGCTCCTCCATCCCCCGAGCTTGAAAGCCGCCACGGGCCCCCTAAGGTCCAGTGGCGATACGGTATCAGAGTACCGCCCACATATAGTGTATATAAACCCCGTGAATGTTCTATTATGATCTTAGGACTAGGCGTCGTAATAAACCTTTGTTACACGTCCTAAATACAACTTACATTGCATACAATTTCTATTGCTTCCCAGGAATCGGGAAATTTTCCTGCGAGTTATTCAAAGAGGACCGGGAAAAAGCACAAATCTTCTGCACAAACTCTCCACAGTGAGAGAACAGAGGATAGCTAACTACCAAACTAGCCTCCCTGTGGACTAGAAAATTTGGCAAAATTTTGACTAGATCATTAGACAAATAGCCAAATCTTCACATCAATTCCTCCCTGAGGAACTCAAAGACCCGCGTGGCAAGAAACACATCCTATACGAAGCCAAGGTGTTTCAAAAGAGACATCGAACTGAGGTAAATCTCCACACCGTTTAGACGCTCATTGGTTTCGAACAGCTTGTGTTCAAATCCAACAAAGCACAAAAAAGCAACAACCGACTTCAAACAGCTCCAGCATCAAAATGGCGGAAATTCAACTGTTCAAGACCAGAATCACGCACGCATGCAAGCTGATCCGTTCAAGCAAGTCAGATCTCAAACTTTTGGACAACCCTTTCACATTCCCAACTGAAAAGGAGGAGTGTGAGGTGTACATAAGAGAAAAAACTGCACAGCTGAACAATTTGATAATAACAATCACAAAGGCAAAACAACTTCACGATACCTATGTTGACAAAGCGATCGAAACAATCAGTTCACGATCGGAACAGAAGGATCGTGAAAAACTGAGCTGAACAATCGTGCTTGAGCTGAACAACGACATGAAGCTCGAGTCAAATGACCTTGAAATCGCAATAATACCATGGCTGAGCAAAATCGAGTTCAGAAAGGAAGAATTGGCGCAGCAAGCCTCGTTCATAGCAGAAGCCGCCAGCATTGCCAACCAGGCTGGTAGCAGCCAACACTATTCCCACAGCGGAGGGGATACTCTCAATACGTTGTATAAACTTATCTTACGAGTTCAACACCTTCTGGTCAGTCTTCGAATCCCTCATACACAACGAGACGGACTTCAGTGACCAGGAAAAATTCCTTTTCCTGAAACAAGCATTGAAAGGAAAAGCAGCTGCTTCAATCAGCAGCATTCCAGTCACTGGCGACAAGTATAATGTCGCGCTGAATATACTCAAGAAACAGTACGGCAGATTCTCAGGCATAGCCGATATCTTAATAAACGAGATTGAGCATCTGCCTAGGGCTCAAGAAAATTCGAGGAGNTAATAATAAGTCGAGAGGAACAAACAGAGTGCAAACATTGCATGCTGCTCCTGCTCGGAACTTCACCACAGAATCGGAGCGACCGGTATCAGTACAATGCGTACTGCAAATGACCTCTGCTTTGATCTTTAATGGAGCCAGCGGAGATTATCAAACAATCACTATTCTTCTTGATTCAGTAGCTTAGAAAAGCTCATAAAGGCAGAGATGAGAAACAGATTGAGGCTGCCAACGACGAGCTCCACATCATTTACCGCAACAGGAATGGGAGAGCTTCGAGAAACCTTCAAATCGAATGAAGTAAAAGTGACCTTGAAAGGCTTACGCAGCTTAAGGAAAGTGCAACAACTGTTGGCTTTTACCAAGGAGAAACTGACGACGACTACCAAAACCGCTCTACTATCGGAAGCTGACAGAAGCTTCATTAGAAGGGAGAAAATCACGGTCGCTCAGCAAACCATACGCCCGTCAGAAGTTTCACCTGATTTACTCATTGGACAGGACCTCTTAAATCAAGTGATCGAACATCACAATCCAGTTATAAAGCTACCATCTGGATTAGTCCTCACGCCCACTATCTTCGGGTACACAATTTCAGGAACTAGCAGCATACCCAATTCAATGAAGCAAGTTAGAGATGTACAATGTGGGTCGCTCGTTGTGGCTACTCCTCCTATATCATCAAAAGACTACTTCAAAACGGACAAGAATATCTCTGGAGTGGAAGCACTTCTTGCCAACATCCGAGAGCCCGCTTCTATCCGCCCTTTCGCTGCAAAAGTACGTCAAAGCGGGGAAAAAAGGAAGGGCCTACTAGTTCACCAAGAACTACCTTGCGACCCCTATTAGTATTGCAAGATGATGAGGGCGTTTTCTCGAGTAAGAACGCTCGCGACACGTTCTATGCTTTTTTGGATAGCATGAACGACATCAAGCAAAAGCTGAATCGGGTGGAGGACCACCGCTTACGACGACTCGATGAAAGGATGCATACACTTGATCTAAGGACGCAGCAAGTGACTCAGACGGAAGTGATTCGTCCAGGAGCACCTCAGTGCCCTACCGTCCCAATGACACGATGTTGCTATATGATTGGACACCAGGCAACGGACGGCCAAATTCGGAGCACCATACTCCATACATCAGCAGGGAAAATAGCTCAAAACCAATCAATCGACTTACTCCTCTGGAAATACACTCTTCATCACAAGACCAAAATGACAAATCTTTAACACATCGAGCAAGAGCCACTACTCCAAGAAAACCGTCATCAATATCGAGGAAAAAATCTGACGCTCCCGTAAAACGTCAACCACCAAGAGCTGCAAAGAACCAAGTCCCTTCCAACACCAGCGTTCCCAGCTAACGATGACGGTAGCAAACGACAACGACAGACATTTGTCAATAATGTCATTCTATTCATAAATAATGAAAATTGTATTGAGATTTTTAACATTGTTGTCACAAAGTTACATTAATATTTGCTTATCTAGTATAGTATATGCTTTGATGCACAGTTAATTTTACGTAGGTAACACTGTTGTACAATGTAGCTACCGCTACTTTTCGCCCCACCCCAGTGTTGTGGATTCACAACCATATATATGTTTATAATGAAACTGGCCTTTACAAGAACGATGGATGGATATGATGCTAGTTCAGCATATGAACCGTAGGCATAACTTGACGTGAGCATCTCTTGAGTTGAGACCACAGGCATGACCTGGCGGTATCATAAGTGTGCAATCAAGTAGGTAACTTAAGTTCTGCCGTTGGCGCGGTCCGCTCCTTCATCCCCCGAGCTTGAGTACCGCCACGGGCCCCCTAAGGTCCAGTGGCGATACGGTATCTGAGGACCGCCCACATATTGTGTATGTAAACCCCGTGAATGTTCTATTATGGTCGATCTTTGTACTAGACGTCGTAATAAACCTTTGTTACACGTCCTAAATACAACTTTTCATTGGTAATCCACCAAAGTCATTGTCAATGTGAAGAACGAGACGCCACGAAATAGACTAGCAATAACCACAGACTGACAAGAGTAATTGCTGCTTAGAAGTTTGTCGAGGTTGTCTGGTCGACGTTTTGAATAGCTCGTCGACGCCAGGGACCGGAAAGGTAGTAGTTCGCAACTCCTGATCTGCGGTGCAGTGCTCAATGCAATGGGCCAGTTGCAAGAACCATCAGCCAAAATATCACCATACTGGCTCCTCTATTCCTCGAAAGTTGGACGTCTCGTAGTTGAGAAGAGGAACACTTACCAGTTTCCAGTCCATAGCCCCGAAAATCGCATACATAGGTATCGCATTTGCACAAAATTGTTCTTAGTCCTGTCACTAGTGATACTCTTGAAACTTAAATTTTCCTAGACTTTCCTAGAAGTAATAAATTTGTACAACATAGGGACATCAGAGGTTTCATGTATTCGACCTCGGGTGATCGTTTCAACGCAGAACACCAGGCTTGGAGTTCAGTTCTGACAATCATGAAGTAATGAAACTCTTTTGTAAATCCTATGTGAATGAAGGCCAGCTGGTATCCTATGATCGTTTAGAATATTTGTATAGGTGAATCAATTAAATGTAATAGATAGCAGTTGGGACAAGACAAGACAATGAATTCTTCATTGGGGAACTCAACATCGGTTGCCGTTTTCAACAAGACAACACAGTTTCCATCTTAAGCGCTTATGTGGTGGTCCTCATCCCAAGTGTGAGTCTATTAAAATGGACAACACGGAGCTCACACCTGAATTTATACGAAAAATCGGCTGGGCGCGCAATATGTGAGAATAACCGATATTTTAAGAGCGCTCAAGAGCTGTGCAGCCGATCCCTCCCAAATGCATACCTGCTCATAAGAGTCAGGAAATTGCTCAGCAACATTCACGCTCGTTCGGGTTGATGCTATACAGCAAAGTAACGGTCTATGCCGAATACGGCAACAAACGCTTCCTGCATATTACTGCTTTCTTTCTTACTGTTTTGGAAAATAAGAAATTCTGCGCAATTTCATGGGAAAATTGTGTATAAAGTTTCGGAAAGGTCGCAACGGTAGTGCTTGCGATGGAAAATGACTCCCGAGAGGTGAAATAGTTAGTGATATAAGAGGCAGTCTGGATTTACATGTTCAAATTCTTAGAAATCGGTAACTGTGTATGCAAGGTGCAACAGTTCAGAAGACAGCAGTCTCTTAACCCATTGGCGACCGCGCTTTTTTAGCGTGTCTGGCGTGTGGGAACGAGCGCGCTTTTCGCAGGCTGCTACTGTGACCCGCTGGCGGGCCACACGATCCCAGGAGCAAGTCAATTTTTTCGCAAGCATTTCCAGCCGACAAAAAAAATTTTTAAATGTGGCATGTAAAGGTTTTAAGTCATGCACACTATTCAGAGCCACGTTATGGCATCTAATGTTGTATCTGATTGTTCGAAGGGAGGTGAGAGTTTTTACCAAATCATTTCCAAATGCGATGCTGTCTAGACACGAGGAAGCAGACAAGATGAGAATGGCATGTTTCGAATCATCGGATACCTCAGCAAAGTCCTTTTACATCCTTTTTACATAAATTTGGTCACCTTTTGTTTTGCTCCTTTACCAATGTCCTTAGAAGTAATTCTGTTTTCGTTTATTACTGAAGTCAGCAGTAAAGGTTTCGCGGACCACTGCGCCTCAAGTTTCTATAGTAGGTCATAAATCTGCTCGATACTCGAGAGGGTCAAAAAATCGAATTTCAGATATTTTGGCGTAGGAAAATGGGTGATTCATTTAGTTACCCATGCAGACCTGACTAGAATGGGGCAATTCCTTGTACGATCTTTACTTACCCAAGGTTTTTTCACACTATGTCAACTGCAGAATAAATCGCCCCCATGGATTGTGTTTTAAACCATAAGGTTGTGACATGACAGACTGTGAGCGCTGAACTTCCTAGTTGTCATCATCAAATTCATCCACGCTTTGATTAAGCTAGCCTTCAAATGCGGTAGGTCGGGTTTTAGTGAGCTGCTTGAAACGATTTTCGTAAAGCGCATCGAACTAAACATTCACACCGACTAATCTCACTGGCTCCGAAAGCCACTACTTCCGATCGTCACACATGTATATGAGGATGTAAAAAATGCATCCACTCAACATTCTGAACAAAAAAAGCAACCTCCCATGAAAACGCAAAAGCGAATAATCGTATAGAACATCAGATTAATAGCTACACCACCCACGCAAAACCTTCAAGTACAGACAACCTGACCTACAGAACTGTTCAAACGGATGAGATCACATCTTTCAGTGGATGGCGGTGTTGATCGATGCGGTAAGTTACCAGCCTTTCACCTTGCTCATTAAATTTTGTTGAGTGAGTCCCGATGCACAGTTTACCAACCTTCGTTCTATCGCTTCGCATCTAGCTATCAAGCCACTCAATCATAGCCGACATCTAACCGCGAAGTGAGGTGCAAGACTCTCTGGACGAAACATATGACGACAGCCATTGGGCGTTGTATGGGCGGCGCCTAAACGGCAATTGACGAGCATACGGCCAATGGCATTATGGCAGCGAGGGAGCCCAGCGACATATATTCATAAATGTGAGTGGTGTCGATGATCAGCAAGTCCTTCGCAATTATCTTATCAACAGCGGCGACATACACCACGCGCACAAACACCAAATAAAATCGACAGCGCCTATGGAAACAACGTTTCGGCACAGAATTCAAACAGAGCGATGAATATGAGGGAGACTGCTTTATGATAGTTCTCATACGCTCAACAGAACAACTTTGAATGATCCAAAAGAAAGTGAGCTGTATGAGAGCATTCAAGTAATAGATAGCGTAGTGGAGAAGACAACGAACACCCTGTTTCGAACAAATCCTCCGCTGTTCTTCGACAATGACTTGCGCCTCAGAGACGTAAGGAAATCGACAGTATGAGCTGTGTGAAGAACATTGCTCGGAGCTATCCTGTATACGCGACTACAGAGCTGCCGGTGTTTGAGGCGTTTCGAGCGCGACTACGAACGAATAACAGGGAAGCTGTCACCATAACATAAAATCGAATATTTTTTGTGAAGGACACATGATTCGATTTTGTGACGACCGTTGGATCGAATCAGTTTCGACTGGATCTATGAGAAGTCAAAAGATAGCAAGGCGACGGCCAGTTCAACAGACAGACTTTATCACGAAGTTCTGAACGAAAGGAATGATCTATTTTATGTCTCTCGAACGAAGAAGGTCAACTGAACATCGATTGCTCGAAACAGTGAAGAATGTAGAACTCCCTTACGCTATAGCAAATTGTTATTAGAGTGCAATAGACATTAGGCTTCAGCGAAGTTTCATGAAGTTACTAATTTGGTATGGCGAGCCAGAGGGTTGCAGACAGAGTATCCCTATTGCAAAACTGAAGCTGTTCGCTGGAAAAAATTACCTGGAGTAAAAGAGGCAAGTTTAGAACTACCCTGTTCGATTACTAATTTGTAGTCTGAAACTTTACTCAAGCACAAGCCGAAAGCGGAATGAAGCGCCCACAAACAGTCTAGTGAACGATCCATAGTTTGTACAAACATTCAAAATCAAGGAAAGTTGCAGGCACTGATAAGAATTTCAGTTTCCAGCGAATGATAACTGAGCAAACCACGGGCTGAACATTCTTATTCAATGCAGCTTTGGCCTGCCGTACAAGGTCAAAAAGATTTGTGATTGTCATACGTAAAGTTCCAACATTACAAGCATTAATGGATTATCTTGGTTTGCAAATGACATTTAGGGACTGACTAGCCAACTGACTGATGCGAAGCTTTCAAACGAGGTCCACGAATTATGTCTTTCTGGCATATGCGACTTGAGGCATCGCCTCGTTTGCAATCAGCCTCACATCCGTTGCACTCCCGCCTGATTTCTTCAAATTTTCATAGAGCAGAGCTAACGAATGGACGCCGCTGGAGCTTTTCAGTTTTTCATATCAAGCATGTCAAAACCACTGTTCGAACAAATATAAGGGTACCAAGTGGTCACACTCAAAGTTAAGAAACCGATTTCTTCTTGTGTCATTCCACTAAGCCAAACAGATAACCGAACCGAGCAGAGCCGCCGCTATGCAGCGTTGGAGCAGCTGTTGGGATGGTGGACTGGTGGGAATGACATAAAAGCTCGGATCCTTGATGCATGCGCTAGATTTGCTCTGCCAACCTCCTGTTGCCATGATCTGTATACATATATACAAGGTGCGCCATAAATACAGTAACAACTTTTCGGACCTCCGTAATTTCCTTGTTTGGAGGGTTTCTCCAAATCTGCACCTTCCCTTATGTATATGATATACCTCAGGCCACATAAATATCTACTTTGGTGCTCTCCAGCCGTTTCGAAAAACGGTGCGGCCTCGCCGATATCCACCAACCGTTACGTCTTTGCGGATTTGGTGAGTCCTCTCCCGGGATCGTTCCTCGTTTCAATTATTCCCACATGACAGTCTATTGATTCGCGATGCGCAGACAGGTCAACGAGAAACCTCAAAAAGGTCGTCTTTCCTCACATACGACCCTTTTTTTAAAAAACAGTTGGGAAGAAGTACGCTGCGGAACCTGCAGAAACACGAGAAAAATAACTGTTGGTTTGTTTGTATTTTCTACTCCAATGAGAAAAGTCTACCCCGAGTAAATACAAATGTATCCAAATAGGATTCGAAAGCTACGTAAGCTTCTTGACGAGAAGAAGTTGGAAAGAAAATACAAATGCAGTGCGCTACTTGTGCGCTGCACGCGCTTCGCCACGCATGTTTTTGGCTAAAGGGTGTTTAGCGTGAAAGAAGTGCTGAGATCCCAGAATACACGTATATTTCACATTACGAGTGCTGAAGCCGCTGAGAGAAGTCAGATCGCCTCTCAAAGCCGTTTTCCCTCCTTCGCTGAAAGAGGTTGGATTGGGTGAGAGCTGGAACTCTACCATTAGAGTTCTAGCTCTCACAAAATCCAACCTCTTTCACAAGGGTATTTCTGAAGGGATATAGCTGAAGGTCAAAGACTTCAATAAGGATACGTTTTGAAAACTACGGCGCACTCGCTCACGAATGGGAAAAGATCAGAAGCAGTGCTGAGGAAATGGTCGCGATTTTATCCCAGTTTCCAATCCTCTTACGAATTTCCTCGACCACAATGTTATGGGTCGCTGGATATAGCCCCGATTAGAGAGAAAAGCCTGCACTTCAAAACGCATCACTGTTCTGCTCCTCAGAAATCACTGAAAAACTCGGCAGGAGATTCTAAAGAAACTGTGCGTGCCACCGTCGATGAGTAGCTGAAGCGTCTCGG